ACCCTGGAAAATGATGGCCAAGTAATTAGCAGCACAAAAGACACTGCGCATACAACAGCAGAAGTCTCACACCATAGCCTCTCTGTACTCACTTAGAAATTAACTGCTATGTAGTTTGCCCTTTCATTCATTTCTATATTATGCCAGAAAAGTTTTAATTTATATTGATTCGTACAGTGTGTCAGAAATTTTAGAAAAAATTACTGATGCAACGAACCTTTTAGTAGTGGAAGTCTAAAGACTAGATCTGAATTTAAGGAATCGTGGATATAAAGTTCTTTTTGCTGAGCTCTCTGACATGTAGAAACAAAAGAAGACTAATTGGAAAATATCGCAGAAACTGTTGAGTAGATGTGTTTTTCTTTAGAGAAATCAGCACCCGTCTTGAATAAATGGCAACTACTCTTGGATGATGAACTAGTTGTTATAACTCGTCCTTAAAATTGGTCACTCACGCGTTATTCGTAATTATTTACTGAAATCTGAGAGTGAACCAATTTGTCCAAGTTTTAATGCTGTTCTTCCAGTGCAGTGTATTTTAATGGAAAGTCCTGAAGCTTTGTGAAGTGTTCTAATCGCTCTCGAGTATCAAGACGCAAGAGAAACACGCCGTCGTGGAAAGTAAAACAGGCAAGTCAACCTTGTATTTGGCGTAGATTTTGTAAAACCCCAATCGATTTCGAGGGCAAAACGGGTCCCCCTTCAACAGACCCCTTATACTTTGGCAGAAGTGTTTGCTCCTGATGAAGGAGGACCCGTTTTGTCCTCGAAATCGGGATTTTACAAAATCTACGTTGAATACAAGGTTGTCGATTTGCCTGTTTTATGCTCTCAAGTATGACTTAACAGTTTAATTGGTCAAGGTAATGATTTTAACATATTTTAGTGTTTAAAAGGAACTGAGCATCAGAATTTGATTTGAAACTCTTTTTAAGAAGTTGAATGCATTTTAAATCAATTTATGTACTTACAATACATTTTAAATGTTTTCATTATATTGGTATTTTACTTAGTTCTACGTATGTGTTCATCTTATAAATTTCGTTCTTCCCCATCTCTTTATTAATTAGAGCTCATAGTGTATTTCCTTAGCTCGTTTTGTAATTTTGTTGTGGTTCACCTGTATTATAAAGTAATTGTCTTTAATATATTATATATTAATCACTAGTCAAAACTTTATCCAATTTTAAACTAAGTGTTGTAGTTTAACCACGTGTTTCCGCATGATAACCTTTCATATTTTAAGCTAGAAAATCCACGAATCAAACAACCCATGCTACTTACTATCAGTTAAAATGTATAACATTATTATGTATGGTAGTTATTTTCTTACAATGATGTTATTTAAGCGTTAATTAATTATGAGTAGAAGCTATATAATTCAAGCAATTAATTGGTATTTTTAATTAGTAATCTTTACCTTATCATTGTCAGTTGAGCATCTAATTGCTAGAAGTGACACACAATAAATTTTGGAGGATTGTGAAGTTAATTTTAATCCTACAAACAGTTATTCCACTTGATTTTTAAGTTTTTGCTTGGTTAGTGGTTCCAGTTAGTGGAGGGCATATTTTGACATTTAGTGAATTACAAATAAACAAAATATATCAACCTTGGACAAATTACCTACAGAAATTGCAAGAATAACTAGCTGCTTTCTGAGCTATATGCAAAGAAGCTATGCATGTTATCTATGCTATGTATGTAGCTATGTGTGTTATGAGCTGTATGCGATGTACCGTGAGCTGTATGCTTTGAAGTTCCAAGTGCCGTTAACTTTTCAATAGGACGCCAGTTTCTACTGCTCTTAAATCATCTATAAACTATTTGCTATCAGACAGAATGTTTGTAATCAGTAATATCAGTTTAAATGTTTCTCAGAGTTACATACTGAAAAGTTACTGTATATATATTGTTACGGATTTTGTATTTAAATAGCTAATGTTAGTTGAATTATAAATTAAATTGTTTTATTCCCCGTGCAGTGTAGCGCATGACGAATATTAAAGGAAAGCTAAGCCGGAAAATTGAAAATACAAGAGCGCGTGCATTTAACATTTAAATAAATAAATATCTCTTTCTGATTTCGAGAAAGTTCTCAGAAAATACGTGCGAATTTAAAAGGCTTACATAAAAGGAGGAAAACCTCTCAATTCGTTAGTTAGTTTGTTGTTGTTTTAAGAGTTTGTTTAGAAAAATGCTCTTGTTGACTGTAGCGAATTCGCGGATTAGCTTTCTCTAGCTGTTTTGAATTACGTTCTCTTGAACGTTGAGTAGTTAATGTTGTAATACTGAACGAATATCTGAGAAAACTTAAGCATATTTGTTGTGATAATAATAAATTTCGTTCATTTTTCATCGGACTTGTGCATTCATTTCTTAACGAACCCCTACGCACGCAACAATATATATATATATATATATATATATATGCTTTTACTGTATATATATATGCTGCCGTTTTACTGATTGACCACAAAGCATTCTCTCCTTAAGAACTGTCCATTTTAATGTGAAGACACATTCTAGTTACATAATTCAGAATACTCTCCTTTATCTGCATAGCAAAAAAGTATTATTCAAGAAGAAAAGCCCTTGACGGAGACAGAATTCAGCCAAATTGTTTTTCTTAATATTGGTTAAAATTCAGGAAATAAAATAATGTCCTTTTCATATTCTATAAAGGAGCCTCAATCGTATTTCTTTCTAATCTATAAGATATTCTTTATTTTTAAAGGAACTATATTTTGCTACTTTATTAGAGAGTGAACTACTATTATACTCTTACGTGCCATGACCCGCATCTGCAACAAAAAAAAAAAAAAAAAAAAAAAAAAAAAAAACACCCAAACATTATTTTAAACACTCCCACGCATATGTTCTGCAGCAATAACTTCTACCCATACTTGTGACAACACAAGTATTTTCTGCGAAAATTCAAACTTCTTTTACTGTGTTTCCGGAAGAAGATGAAATATGATAAAATCATAAAAAGATGAAGATTCCCTTGTTGTTGAAATTTATTTTGCACTGTTGATATGTGTTGTATTCAAAGGCTTGAAGTAATTGAAAACTGAGTCAAAAATATTTTTATTTTATCTTCATTTCAAACTTTCAGCACGTTGTATCATCCGACCTATCCATGAGGATATCAGATTTAAAATTGAAGGAGGTATGGCATTTCTTTCTTGAAAGGCTGTTTGTTCTTAATGCCTAAATTTGGATATTGCGTTTCTGTATTTTTTTCGAAAACCATATGTAAATAACTCGATCTGGATTTATGCACCTGAGAACACGGTCAGTTATCATCACAGAAATTTTAGTAAAATGGAGAGCGAGTAAGGATTTTATTAACGGAAAGATCTGGAAAATGTTGAGAAAATTATGGTAGTGTTCAACTGACAATTGTTAAAAGCTAAAATATATTGTAATGTCATGAAGCTCAAAGTTTTTCTTCCATTAAAAAGGCGGAAATATTCACTATTAAAAAAATAAAATTTTTCAAAATTTTATGGAAGTCAGGTAACAGCTGAAGTTTTCAGAAAGGTTTTAGCGCGATTTTACTCTGCACTTACATACGTACCGTCCCATGTATTTACTTTTATGTATTATTATTATTATTATTATTATTATTATTATTTATGCTTTTTTGTTACGTAATGTAATTTGATGAATGGCTAGCAATAAATTTGTCCTTTGAATTTTACTTCTACATACCTAAATATATAGCAAATTTTCTAGTCGTTTTTCTCATAAGGAAAATACGAGACGGTTTCCTTTAGAAAGTCCTTCGCGAAGACCTTCCGGCTGCTTGTTGCTGATTTGAATTAGCACCATTTGGTAAGACCCAAATACTTTAAATATAGCCCCGACATAGCTCTAGTTGATACCTGGACATCCTGAAACTGAAGTTACTTAGAAGGACATGCTTTTCAGATGAGGAAGTGAAAAAGCGTCACAGCCGTTATACTGACAAAAATGTAAAAATATATCCATGTTATTTTTTTAAAAGAAAGTGACTATTCATTGCCACCGTTTCACAGTTTCGTTTCGCTGTCGCCGCTTCGCAATCATGTCATTTCCCCTTTGGCCAAATCGCCATCGGACCAGTTCGTTGTCAAGACTTATTTTTCTTTACATTTCTATATTATATCTTTACAGGCCTATACAATATCTCTTTCCTTTACATAAACACATTTTCTAGAATTGCTAAGATAGCAAATTCGTTAATGATATGTGGTATTCATTTAAATTCAAATCAATAATTAAAAGCGTTCATAATTAAGATGAAACATAATAGAATTAAAAAACAGTAATATATAATAATAAAATAAAGGAAAATATTAAAATTAAATATAATAAACTGTAACATTCATATTAAAAAAGAAATTGTTTTGAGATTACAAAATAAATTGACCATTTTTAAGATAATATTTAGAGTCATAGAATAAAAAATATTGAATTTTGTTTTCGATTTTTATTTTACATTAAAACTCGATTTCTTGCATTGCAAAAATTTGCTCTACAACTAAAGTTGTGCTAAAACATGTTTCTAAACTTTTGCCTTGTAAAGAGCCAGATGGTTTGTTAACATTTACATTTCAGTAAATTCTTTGTATAAAATCTTTTGAGTAATATACATATAATGCTTTTGTATGCAGTTTTATACAAATACATAGTTACGCATGTTATAAAGTTACTATATTAGTTATCCGTCTATATATTTATTAATGTTAAGAGAGTAATATCCTGAAAAGACTCCAAAGTAATCCAATTAGGGCTATCTTTAAAAAAAATTCATTTATGAATTCACGTGTCAAATCTTCCTAAGGTTTTAACCTCATTTCGCGATACCTAAACGTATTTGTATCATCTCTTTCCTAAAATAAAATTATATTTTGGAAAGATTTTTATCGAAATAAATTACTAAAAATTCCTTTTTCTTTTTTATATTTTAGCATCTAAAATAGAGTAGTTATAGCTAGCTAGTTCTTACTTACCATATAACAGTTTCAGATTTTATCATATTTTTTTAAAGCTTCGTCAAGAATCTTGATTCCACTCAAAATTTTGTCTGACAACATTTGCCTCAGATCAATTCCTCTAGATCCTCCAGCAGTTGTCGAAACCGTGTTGCCGCCATTGATTCCACCATAAGGTAATCCATTTAGCGAAGAATAAAATAATGCAAATAGGGGACCTATTACTATTGCCAAACCTAATGCCGAGGCTACACCAAGACCTACGAAAGTAAATAACAAGAACATTATTTTAAATTCTGCGGTTTGAAATTCTTTGCAATTTTTTGAAGAATGAAACAATTAATGAATAATTTATTTATTCCCTTCATCAACGCTTCATTATTCAATGAAAACCACTAAAGATTTAAATATGGATAACCCTATATAAACTCTCATAAATCAAAAAATATAGAGAGAACGAGTACCAGTTTCTGTCAAGACGACTACTATATTGGTAGTGTAATTATTTTAATCGCGATATATTTCCTTTCATTATGCATGTAAGTAGAAATCATTAATAAAGTGATAAAATAACGACAGACTGATTTACTGAAACCTCTTTAAAACTTTACCTGAATAACCCGCTTATATGCTTTTCGTGCCATGCGTCAACTTTTCCAGATTATCAAAGTAGAATCAATCATTTGCATTCTAAAGTTATTATTTAAATTAATCAGTTATTTATGATTTCAGCCTTAACTATAACTTCTCCTTTGTGTTTTCTCACCAGAATGTAAATGAGGTTAGAGAGCATTAAAGTTGAGAACTTTGGATAATAAGACAGAGCGTGTTTCTTGTTTGCACGACCACGCTGCGTTTAGTTTTTGTCAGCTCTGATAAATTGTAATTATTCGCCTTTGAGTTAGAGTTGCTGACATTTAAATTTATTGCTCCGGTTAGAATTTTTGAGTTAGCAGCTTAGATTAAAATTAAACTGTGTAGTCTTTGCGTACTATACTACGTTTTAAACTGAAATTTGTTGCTCCTTTAGTTGCATCATCATGAGTTGTGGGTGAATTGCTTGAAATAAGGACGTGCAATGATGTTCTAAGATTCGTTTAGATAAAAAAAAAAAGTTTGCTTTAACCTTCATTTGATTATGTAGTTACTGACGTAGTGATAGCTCGATTCACATCTGTTAGGGGTTTTAGACTAATTAACTTTTATCAGATCAAGGAAAACTGCACAACATATGTATTGAATCTAGTAAATTTTTACAGCCCCTGTTTAAATGAAAAAGCTTTATATTCCCCGACATTTTCAGCTTTCTAAAACTATTTAGTTTTCAAAACATAAACCATCGGCAGATTTTGACAATATCGTAACCTAAATTCCCTTGTCCTCTCCGTCCTTTCACATAATCGAGTCAGCTTCTAAGCAACGTTAGGGCAATATTTTGGAAATTAAAATTTAAGAGCTTTTTCTAGAAGTGTTTCCTTGTTCTTAGAATTTCCGAATGTTAGGCGGTTTATCTGTTTTAACTAAAATATTTCTAATAAAAAGAGTCTGGAAATAGAATTGGTTATGAGAATTAGAAGTGTCAAATGATTACTGATATTTCTCCTTACGATAATATGATTTGAATGTGGAACTACCTGCATTATCCATCTTCTTCTATGCAAACATATCGTACTGCCAACGTTATTGAGTGATTATTAGATAATTAGCTAGCGGTTTTCAAATGCATGTCTACTGTGCTTGTGAACGAACTTGTATACTAAATCCTTTTGATACTGTTAGCTATGCGAAAAGTTGTATCCAGTTTTTAGTCGAAAACGAAAAACAAAGAAGACAAAAAGTCAAAATATTTATGATTTCACGTAACTTCTAACATTATGTATCACCTCATGCCATATATCTGGTAGGAGGTTTATCTCGCACTGATAAATCTTCTTTGCTTTAGAGATAAAAACATCTGGTGATGGTTTTTTACTTCATTGTGTAGAGGCATTAGGTATTTTTGGAAGCAGGAAAGATGAAAAATGAGCAACGCCTTCGCAGGGGATCGAACCGCGGACCTCTGGAATACGCGCCCAGCGTGCAGACCACTAAACCACGAAGGCACGCTAAGAAGACGGGAGAAATACCTTATAATTGTACGAAGTAAAGGACGTACTGTAATCAAGGAAAATTTCAGGTATAATATTTCAACGAAAATACCCATTTTTACTGCTATCAAATACAATTAATGAGGTTTTTGCGTGACATCTGTACGTCTTAAAGGACTCTTAATAAAGGAATCTTTTTCCCAAAATGGATTATAAAATGGATTTAAAATGGATTCAGAAGAGTTTTTTTTTTTTTTTTTTTTTTTTTTTTTTTTTTTCGTAACGCCTGTGCGTACGTACGTATATACGAGTATGTATCCCACATTACTCAAAAACGAGTAGCCTCGGAACGTTGAAATTTTGTATATAGGTTTGCTATAACATGTAGCTGTGCATCTCTCTTTTTGATTCAGATCGGCTGCACCAGAAGTATACATATATATATATATAAGCTGTTACTCGGCTCGGTGTTCTCAATTTTATTATTATTATTATATGTTGGTAAATTATGCATTTTTTGCTCTAAAAGATGATTGAATTATGTGGTTCTTATGTGCCGATTAAGGTTTTTATACCTTTAGTTAATCTGCATGTAAAAATTGTAGAATTATCGACAATTTAAAAAGTTGTTTAAGTGTGGCTAAAGCATTAAGCTAATTTAATTAGGCTAAAGCCTAATTTTTTTTTTCAATCAGAGCAGGCATATTTGTTTACATTTGAACCTTAGCAGAATAGTGAATTAAATCAGTGTCATCTTCGGTGACTTTCTGCCGAGTCAGGCCAAAGGTAAACTTTCAGGTTTGTATACCGAAAAATCTATCTCCTTGCCTGCTGGCCGAATTGCTTGTTTTTACGAAGAAACTCTAATTTTAATTGTAAAGAAAATTTTTTAACTGTTTTAATTGTATTTGTTGCTTTATGTTTTTCAATTTTTAATGAAGATACTTTGAGGTTTTATGTATTTTTGCCTTGCCGCGAAGTGGGAACTGAATTAATTGAATGAGAAATATAATCCGTGTGAATAAATTTAAATGAAATGCAACAAAAAATGTACATAATTTAATAGGCCGTACAATCAAGTCATGTGGTGTCCACATCGGGTTTTTTGAATTCGTCATAGAAGACCTGCAGAACGGTAGGCTGAAACTTTTCAAAGTTCAGGCAACTGTTAATGCGATGTAAAAGACATGTAAGGTTTGGTATCATCATAATGAAGGATAACTCCAACCCCTTTGCGACTGATTAGTGATAGTTGCTAAAATGTCAGTTCTCTCCATCTGTCCAAATGTAGTCAGTAGAAATCAAGATGTTTTGTCTGGTTATATCCCAGTGATTATTCTCTCGATATCATGCCATGCACGTAAAATAATCATTTTGATGTCCAGTTTGAGATTAACGGCATAGTTCTGCTTCTGAAACTTAGCAAATAGTCTTCAGTGCTTAACAGTGCAATGGAATAACCATTACTCGTCTTTGTCACAACTGTTTTCAACTTTCCCTCATTGTTTCGCAGAAAGCTGGTTGAAACTGGCTGATCGAATTTCATGATGAACCTAGGTATCTGCATCTATCTTTTGATTGTTTTTCTGTCCATCGACAACATTTTCCCTAGTTTATGAAAGGTTTGACTTGATTCATTTTCTATAGTTTGGTCCAAGAACTTTATCAGAAACTAACGATGAACATCCAGGAAGTGACTTCCACCATCTGTCTTTGTTTCAAAATTTCTTAATCCAACAATGAATGGCATAATGTCAGCTCTGTCTTCTCCATATGTTTCACAAATTTTATTTACGAGCTGCAACTGTTACTGTATTTGTCTTATTAAACTTGTATAGCATACAACATCTGAGATTCTCCTTGTGAGTTTCCATTTTAACACGTTAATGGAAAACCCAATGTCTTTTTATACTTTACTGCCCAAGTTTTGTTGCTTAAAGATTCAAGTCACTACGTGTCGTCTTCAACGAATGTCATTCGATCACACTTTGTATCTACAAAACGGCTAAAACCTCTGCAAACACCTAATATATATTTATATGCTAACACGCACCCATTATATACTTATATGCTAATCCCTTTTTATATAATTCAAAATATGCCTAAAAAATAGCTGTGGCTAGTATGATGATGTGAGAAATCTTCATAGCTCAAGTGAGCGATCTTCATAGCTCTTCCTATGAGCCACCTTCATAGCTCTTCCTATGAGCCACCTTCATAGCTCTTCATGTGAGCAATCTTCATAGCCCTTCATATGATCAATCTTTGGGACAAGTAGCTTTGATATTTTCCAAGCACTCTGCATTGGTAACCTGGAACTTGGGTTTTGGAATGAGCGTAAAAGCAGTATCAAAAAATAGTTATAATTTTATTCTAGTTTAATAAAGATGTTTTTCTAAAATGCGTTGAAAGGTCCATCGCTAACAAACAGTCACAGCGTTATGGGATCTGAAAACATTTACATACTTTAAAGTTCTTTCTATTTTTTATTATTATTCATCAGTGTCTTAGAGTGTACAAATATTTTTCGATAAGCTGCTGACAGTTCTTCCAAATCATCTTCAAAATAAAAACAGAAAAAAACACGTCCGTTTATAGTACCATCACTGGGATTTTAATGGGTTCTAATTGTCTTTTACGTGTTGTGCAATCATATTCTTTAAGTATAGCTCTTCGTTAAATACACTTACATGCAAGACATAAAAGGAAAGCGCTTCAATTTCTTATATTATTAAACATTCATCAGTATTTTAACTATTTATGCATCTCCAGCCTTTCAGACTTCCTTCAGGGACATGTTATAATTTTAAATGCTTGATGATCTATGTCCTAATCCAAATAATACATATAGAGAGTTGAGTATCAAACATGTAGACCATGTGTCACTTTTGCATATTAAAAGGGATAAGTGGGAATTCATCTGCATCCAGAAACTGACCCTTACTAAAATTAGTATATTTCTATTTATAAGGCAATTTGTAACATTTTGTTCCCTCGACTTTGAAGTTAGCATAACCGTACAATGCTTTGAATGGGTCATTAGAAATGCGATAATACGCTCGTGTTCACATAAACAATAATAGCATTTCATTTTCTTTTTATGATGTTCATGTCTTCAGCTGTCACGCTATTTTATAATTCAAACAACTCTTCGTAAACACATATCGTTGTAATGCTGTCTCGCTCTAACAAGAATACAGAATTGAGGAAACTCTCGAGAAAGAAGACATTTCTGCAGCATGGTTTCTTGCAGCACAATTAGAAACTAAACAACTTTAATTTAAATCTAAAGTGTATTAGCAAACGAGATCAAAATGAATTTTATAATGTCAAACAGTTTTAAAGCGTTTACTTTAAAATATGTAGAAAGACATAAACTTAGTTGAGTGAATAAAGTTCTGCTTCTTAATTGCAAATTGTTCCACTTAAAGAGCCTTAAAATTCAAATCAGAACTTCTGAAGTATTTAGATGCATACCATAAAATTTAAAGATTTTTTTAAGAAAATGCATACAATAAAAATAAGTTTTTAAAAAAGATAATTATTACGCATATTAAATTATTTCGTAAAAGAAAGCAAAAGATGAGATTTTGCTCGAAAGTTTCTATTTTACCAGGATCATTTCATATACCAGGATTTAAAACCATTTATTTTATATCAATGTGTCTTAATTGTCATCAGTTCTTGGTAAAAGATAATTATCATCTTTTGTTCTTTCCTTTAAATATCTGCTCTCTACACGAAATTCTGTAGTAACATTCTGAGCTAAATAAGGCAAACAGCGATGGCTGAGGGCTAGATGAACATTCGGTGATATAATGGCATCTCTTTATCCTGAACATTCTTCTGATTTTTATATCTTCTCTTATGTTTCTTTCATAAAATCTTGTCTTTTCTCACATACCGAAGATAGGTCATCAACAGTTGTTTGATTGATTTCATGTGTCTATTCTATGTTACGTCATTTCATGCGACTTACTCCTAAAATTTCTCGACTAATTTTCACTTTCTCAACATTTGGCTTCTCGCTGGCAATCAAATCTTTTACATCCAGAATCATCAGATCTCTTTACAAATCAATTTTGATAATTTTACAGCAAAACAACTTTTACAGTGTTAGCACAAACAGTCACTTAAAAAGTTAGTAAAAAATCCTAACAAAGCAAGCTAAAAATAATAAACATAATCAAAAATTATGTTATGAATACTTTAGTAATTTTAAATTCTAACAAATTCATGATTTTAATTACATTATGTTCTAAACTCTCTTAGGATATCCCCAGTTAAAAACGTTAGGGAACAAAGGATGATATAAAACGTGCAAATCGTTAAAGTGTTAAAGGAAATAACAGTATAATTCGTTTTCCTCTCATACGAATATGCAGAGAATCGCTTCCTATTTAGACAAAGGTAGATTTCAATAAATTAGTATTTAAGATAAACTATGTTGGAAAATGTAGCTCTTCTTTCTCGTTGAGATGAGATTAAATTCAAGAAACATCTGTGATGTAAAAAGCATAGGATAATAAGTACTAAAATTCTGCTTCATGTTATTCATGCTATCATTCTACGAATGACTTATTCAGGTCATTATCCTAACCTAGATCAAGATATCTATCCTCTCCTGACGTTCTTAGTTTTAAGGCCTAAATTGAAAAGGGTACTCCAGAGAGCAAGAGAAAATAATTTGAAGTTCAATAAGGCTAAATGTTAAAAGTTCATCGTGTGAATTATATAGGGCATGAGTTAAGTGAAAATGGACTAAAACCTTATAAGATATTTCTCCCACTTTCTTAGCGTACCTTCGTGGTGTTGTGGTTCTGCACGCTGGACCGGTATTCCAGAGATCCGTGGTTCGATTCCCGGCAAAGGCGTTTACTAATTTTGCATCTTTCCGACTTCCAAAAATCCTAATGTCTCTACAGTGGCGCCCGAACTAAAAGGGTTGTGGACGATGACTTTCCACACCCAGGATTTGGCGATTGGGTCTCCTAAAAACCCCAGTCGCCCTTTAAAAAAGGGGAGTATATAAAGTATTTCTTCCGCTTTCCCTTAGCGTGCCTTCGTGGTGTAGTGGTTCTGCACGCTGCGCCGGTATTCCAGACGTCCGTGGTTCCATTCCCGGCGAAGGGAGTTTGCTAATTTTTCATCTGTCCGGTCTCAAAAATATAGCTAATGTTCTCTACAACCTGATTTTTCTAAATTAGACAAAGGTAGTGGAAGCAATTGTTAAAATGCCATAACCTACAGATGTGTCTTCGTTACAAAGGCTTTTGGGAATGATTAATTATTTAGCCAAATTTATTCCTAACTTGACTACTATTACCTCTCTAAACTTACAGAATTCATGTTTATTATTATTTAAAAAAAGAAATCCTCGTGCACCACAAAGTATTACACGAAACAGAATTCATGTTAAGTGCACTAAATTTACTCAAAAATTCGAATACATATAATGCTTCTATACTTTCACCCAGGACTGACTGATTATTTTATCCGTCAGTCAGCCCTCATCATTAAATAACTATTCGTTATATTTGTAGCCTTTTCTAATTTTAAATGGAGCAAAACTGAAAAGTATTTGAAACGCACTGGTCATCAATTATATAAAATTAAAAAGAAAATTCTTTTCTTGCCATTTTTTCATGTGCTTCAGTACCATAAACAAAACAGGTCGATTAATCGTAAATTCTTTTTCCTGTGACTCATATTTTCATTGTTTGCTTAACGCATTTACATTTTCCTTCACACTCACAGAGAACACTGTATATCTTTGCAGATGATCTTCAGTTTTTTTAACTTTTTTCTTAAGGAGTTTGCGCTGAATAAATGACCAGTATGACAATTGTTTGCTGCAACAAACGAACAGTCTTATTTCAAGTGTACAATAACAGATATAAAGAATAAAACTTCTCATCTACGTGAAACAAAATGCAATAGATAGAAGGATTTTCGACTTGACTGTCTCCGGAGGGATGTCATAGCAAGGATGCAGGTTTTAACACTGATACTGTCATAAAGTCGCAGTTTATGTTGCCTTATATTGTGAAATGATTCAGAGTTAATTTTTATTGAAGGAATTACGATTACAGCTCGGTATGAGATTCTTTTCGAAACATAATTCCCAACCAAATTTCATATGGTTGGACAATATTGCTTACAAAAGATGAAGTCATCCTTTGCAGACTCGTAACTTATTTTTGACACATCAGCATTCAGTACAAAAGTCATAATTTTCTACTATCCAAATCGCTGTTCCAACAATATGGACTACCCTCCACAAACCTGAGGCGGATGAAACAGCTTGATTTCTTTCTTTGGGTCAGTTTTAAGGTATGGTCTATTAGAAGGGCCCCATTTAACTGAAAACTTCAAAACAGCCACTGTTAATGCTTCTTATAGTTTTCATAAATATATTTTACCAAAAATCCTCTATGATTATATCCCATATCTTCATCATATCATCACCTCTGCACGTAGTTGCTTTGAATCTCTTGTCAAATGACACTCTTTAATTTCGGAGAGACACGTGAAGTTGCATCATTTTATATCTTACCGTCCTCTTTAAACAAATTTTTGTTTCTGGAAAACATACTTTGGTTTCCAAAAACTAAGCACTAAAGGGAAAATTGATGGTAACTCAAAAAGTACACAAGCAACGTGGACAAAACTTTATGAAAATATTTATTATATTTCTGGCAACTTAAAAACACGGAAAATATTATACAGAATATTTACATTTTACAATATCAGCGGAAGCATAAAATCTCAAATTCGGACAAACAAATTAAACACAAAAAACTTCTCAATAATAAGTATGACCATACTGATCAGCAATACACACCTGATAGAGATGTCCCATGCTCTTTATGACATTGTGAATGATCTGCATGGGCAGCAATGCTCATTGATCAAATAAAGCGGTTATAATCCCATTTGGGGTTTAGGGAAGGAGTTAGTGGTCAGCAACACGCTTCCCGACAGTGTACACCGCATTTTCAGTAGTGTTAGGATCGGGAAAGCGTGTTGGCCTTTCTATTTAGACTACAATTTCTTCTTCTTCAAAAAATTGGAGCACGAAGAGAGCAGTGTGAGAGTGGGTATTATCTCCTCGCAAAATAAATGTATCGCCACAGCATACGAGTGTAAACACAAGAATCCAGTATGTCGACCCTGCGCCTCTGGGCATTCAGCGTTTCATGTAGCAACACATACAAGTCTGTCCTGCATAGGTATCCCTTTCCCGTATATTAGACGGAAGATATAAAGTGTTTGCATCTCCCCATGTAAACATGTGGGCAATCACGCTGTAAAGCAAAATAAGACTCATCAGTGAACAGAACAGATTTTCACTGATTTTCATCCCAGTTTACATGAACTACATGCCCAATTCAAACGTTCTCTGATGGCAGGAGATAAGCAAGACTCACAGTGCTGGCCGTCTAGAAAACAGACTTCTTTGATAAACCACTCTGTGTAGTGTCACGGCAGTTATTGTCCTTTCAGTAGCAGAAATAAGCCTGAATCTAAGCTAAGATGGAGTTGCAGTCCTGTTGCTACATGCACTATCGCAAATATGGTCATTTGCAGAAGTCAGTGGTAGGTTTTCGAGAGGCTAAAACAGTAGTTCAAAATTGTTTCTACAACCGGCTTACCACGGAACAATCAACATTTAGCCATTTTGCAACATCAGACTGTTGTTTACCTGTTTCTATTCTTCTGCTGGCAAATGTCGCCTCGAACTCATTTTTACATTTTGGCTATCGAAAATATGTTTAATACATCGCCTTTCACTGAACAACGATTCCCTTGTAAACAGCTGTCTTAAAGCTGTATCGTATTTACCTAAAGCGATGAAAGCCGCACTCTTTCGCATAGTTCTATTTAATGCAACTTGCTTTTATTCATAACATATCTAAATTTAACGAATTTCGAACTACATTTAGTCGATTTATGGCGATTCTTCAATTCTTTGCTTAATTTTTGGAAACCAGTGTAATTGTCACTTTATGTTTACATGAAATGTTATTAAAAGACTCAAATATATTTTAGTAAAAGATCTTCTTTAAATATGATCTCAATAGTTTTCTTACCAATAAGGAAAAGAACAACTTCTTCGAGTCCTATTCCTCTGTGTGACTGAACATCATCATTTTTGCTTTGCAATTCGAACGCAAGGCTGGCACCAAATATGGATATTAGAAGACAACATTCGAAAGAAGAAAGCATGGCAATGATCTATAAAGTAAAACAAAGAAACAACTTAGTCCTGTTGTTAAAGGAATAACTTCTTAATGTATTCTAATATTGATCAGAACACTTTTCCTTCTGTTAATGATTACACTGGTGTGCAAAAATTAAGGACGAAGTCGAAAAATTAGCATATCAGCTGAACGAAGAGGCAGAGCGGACAGAAAGACCAATCAGGAGATTAAGTAACGCATGTACGGTAGCACATGCGCAGATATGCAGGTAGACGTAATGGGGGAGTGTCTGAGTAGTATAAAGCATGTTGTCGGTGTAAGATCACTATTTCTGGCAAAGAGATTGCACGCCGTATAGCAGTTAAAATCACACCGAGTTGCTGCCTCAGCGAGAAATGGCGAATAATCAATTTGTTAGACGACATCTTGGGTGCTTTTACCCGAGGTCGAATCATTGGGAAGTTGGAGGAAGGCCGCAGTGTGACAAGTGTGGCTGCAGAGTTCGGAATTGCTCACAGCATCGTTTCACGACTTTGGAGACAATTTCAAACTACAGGAACAGCTATCTGGGGGTTTAGTAGTGGTTGTCCACGAGGAACCACACCCTCAGATGACCGGTATATTGCCTTACAGGCTAGAAGAAACAGGCGGCAGACAGCGGGAGAAATCGCTAGACACACGACACAGGCGACTGGACGACCGATATCGCGTTTTACCGTGGCCAGAAGACTGCACGGTGGTGGTCTGTTTGCACGACGCCCTGTACGGTGTGTACCTCTAACGCCTGCCCATCGGAGAAGGCGTCTCTGTGGTGCCGGGAACACCGGAATTGGAGAGACAATGAATGGGGACGAGTACTCTTTGCAGATGAGAGCAGATTCAGTCTGAGTAGCGATTCTCATCGCATACTCATCTGGAGAGAGCGGGGAAGCCGCAATCATCCCTCGAACATCATTGAAAGGGACAGGTATGGAGGTGGCGGTGTTCTCGTTTGGGAAGGCATCATGCTTGGTAGTCGTACAGACCTTCACATCTTCGACGCAGGTTCAGTCAACGGAACCCGTTATTGTAACGAGATTCTTCTTCCATATGTGCGTCTTTTTAGAGGCGCTATGGGTCCGCAGTTCCTTTTCATGGACGACAATGCACCATGTCATCGCACAGTAGCTGCCGAACAGCTCTTAGAGAGTGAGGATATTGAACGTATGGATTGGCCGGCACGATCTCTGGATCTCAATCCCATCGAGCATGTATGAGATTTTCTAAGCAGACGCTTGGCAGCTCGTACCTTACCACCAGTAACGATTCCGGAGCTTCAATTGGCGCTGCAAGACGAATGGGCAGCAATGCCTCAACAATTCATTGGCACCCTCATTCTCAGCATGGGCAGACGCTGTCAAACCTGCCTAGCAGTCAGGGGAGATCATATCTCCTATTAAAGACCGGATGTTTCTTGCTGGACACCCATCACAGGGATGTTTCGGACTTCAGTCGCATTGCGCTCCATGCTACTTTTTCAATAAAGCTTCTTTTTATCCCTTGATTTCTCTTTTAGTAAGTGTTGCTTACATTTCTCATGTCCTTACGTATTGGGGTTCTTACGGTATTAAATGTGTTGATTTGGAAAGCTTTTGTACAAAGTTATATTGAAAAATCCGTCTCGTCCTTAATTTTTGCACACCAGTGTATTAAATATAAATATTTGGAATTTCCATGCTTTAAAATATATATATGTATATATTAATTTTTATAACATATATGGCAAAATTTCGTTCTAACTGGTATGGAGATAATCGCAAATGGCAGAGCAATCGAAATAGAAATCATACTTTTCCTTTATTTTTCAAGTATGAACTTTGATAGGAAACACAATCCATTATTTTGCCTAATGCTTATGCTTGTTTAATTCACTTTGCTGTAATCCCTTCCAATTCTAGTTTGAACGTTTAATAGCCTAAAATAGAAGTAAATGACTAAATAAATAAAACTAAAAAAGAAACGGGATGTGTGCTATTCATGACACAAAAGTACTACATTGCAGTTTGATCACTTCTGAAATACTAAGTGTTCATATAGATCCATCCAGCAAATATTTCGATTTGGTATTGTATTAAAGAAAATTTCTTAAAGCATTCCAAATGACTAATCGCTTTAACTTTTAACTTAAAACTATTATGTTACTGTCAGTCCAAATTAAGCATTTCTTATTCTTAACAATCTCCAACTTTCAAAGCATTATAGTTGCGTTCTGGGGCGTTTCAAAGCCTTATAGTGGTAGTTAGATTTAATTTACAAATAAATGAAAAAATTGGTATACCAGATGCCAATTAACATTAGGTGTAAATAAACATGCATTTAGACATCAACCAGCTATTCTGTGGTGTACAGGTTATCAGAACCAAAGTTCGAAGCATCATTTCGTAGAACAATTAAGAAAAATCTGTGAGAGAAGCAACAGCGGGAGATCAATGTCTCCCGGTAGAATAAAAATATCTCACCGCAGCTAATCTCTGACCTCTACGCTTTATCAGCTGTTAAGTACACAGAAGGTTTGAGAGAAAACGGCAACTGATCATCAATGCATACATCCTTTTCGCTTCTGACAGATAAGTTTCAGATTAAATTACACAGTTTCTGTTAGACTTAAGTTCAAATGAAATTTACATCTTTTATAAAAGAATCCAAACTCGAAATCTGACTCTAAAGGAAACAGGAAACAACTATTGACGCTTTATTATCAGTGAAAAGAATATTACAGCTTCATAGCATATGGAGACTACCGGTTAAGTATTAGATGTATAGATCTGCACATGCTTCCTAAGGTAAAGATTACTGATGGAAAACGAGGGACCTAGATTATTTTATATCCACTTTGATGCGGGCGGATAGTCAGCGGACTAAATTTGCCATTCAAATCTCCTGACTAAATTTATCAAGTAGACTTGGATATATCCATGGACATGTGCTTTTACCTTCAGTTCCTTAGAAGATTACGACACACCTCAGTCACTATTTCTAGGAAACAGCGGCTAACGTATCCAAACGTTTTTTCAATTCAGCCCTGGGCAAGATGGAAATATGTTTACAACTTATATGTAATTGTTTTATCCTCAGCTGTGTATGAACACGAACTCACAGTTTGCAATCTAACCCAGCGTTTCTCAACCAGGGTTCCGCCTGAAATGGAGAAATAACACGTACGTCATGCAAGAGATAACAATTGTTTCCTTAGTTCGGCACTATACTTCGGTGGTGGAAGCAGGTGACAAGAGTCCAGCTAATGATAATTGAAAAGCTTCATTTTACTGTTTGTATAGGCTCAGTTAGACTTCTCAGACTTCATCAACAGATGTATGAATGTTTTTGTTACTTGCATTTACAGTTAAATTTTTAAAAAAGGATATTTTTTTAAATAGACTTACTTACTCTTTAGAAATCTTTAAACTGTATATTGGCAAGGCAAGACTATGAGTGTAACACGAGTCTAACCGAGCATAACCAAACAGCCAAAGACACGTTCTCAGTTGTTACGGATTAGAATCTAATGTGATTGTGTATGCATTAATGATAGAAGACATCTATGTTCATGTAGGTGGTTAAACAGATTGCTAGCTTATGTTCTTATTTTACTACTTTGATAGCATTTTATTCGGTTTTGTTTCTCATTTTTAATTCTTCTGTAGATTTTGTAGGTTAATAGGTTAACATGGGGCAATACTTGAAGACAAACAATCCAGATAATTCTGAAGAGACTAGTGATGAAGATTTGGAATCTCATACAAAATTTCAAAAGGATAATAAGGAAAGAAGTGCGAAAAAAGTTCATTATTACAGTGAAAATTACTGTTTATCAATGGGCTTTACATGGATAAGATCCAGAATGTTTTCTTCGTCTTATTTACGGTAAAAACCATTTGAATGCAACAACAGCTCCGGCAAAATTGAACAGACATTTCGCAATTAATCTAACTAATATGAAACATAAAACTGTTGATTACTTTAAAACATTGTTAAAATCTCAAAATAAACAGTACATCTTTTGGAAACAGTTAGTCAACACGCTCAGGAAGCAAGTTATTTGATAGCAGAATTTAGGAAAGGAAAAGACACACATCACACATTGGGAAAGAGTCTGATAATGCCCGCATGTAAAATTATAATGAGTAAAATGTTGAATAATATGCAGTGAGGAAATGAAAATATTCCACTTTAGAATACACAGTGAATCAATGAATTAGTGACCACACACTGAATAAATGAATTATGAAGAGTAAATCGATGAATCAGTGATGTGTCAGATGATGTTGAAGAGGTTTATATGATAAAATGAAAAATTGCAATTTTTCAATTCATATGGACAAATCAACAAATGTTTATGCTCTAGCACAGCGTTTCTCAACCTTTTGACTAACGCGTACCATCTAAACAAAAAATGAAAACCTTTAGTACCACTACTACAAAGTACTACCATCACCATTCTTGAACAAAGCTCAGATCGCATAAATTTAGAAGTGTTAGAGAAAAAACTCAATGTTGGGGGTTTAATTTTTGAATTTAATAGTGCAAAATACTTTGCTTCTTTGCGTACCACCTATTTTCTCTTGCGTACCACCGGTTGAGAACCCCTGCTCTAGCATTTGTAAGATTTTCTAGTGAGGAAGAAATTCAAGAAAACTTCCTCTGCTGTATAGAATTGCTAGAGACAAGTAGAAGAGTAGATGTACTATATACTATTTTGTCTGCATATCTGAAAAAAAAATCTGAAAGTTTTCATATTTTAACTAACGAAAAGATCATGTTGTAAAAGGGAATCTTGATTTTTAATTACTGACGGACTGAAAAGTGAAGATGGATACTAACAAATTTCCAAGCTTTATTGTATCACACCTAGAGCAGCTATCGAATCAAACTGATTATAATTTTCCGTCCTTGTCAACAGAACTATATGACTGGGTAGTGAGTCTATTCTCTCTCAATTTCGTTCATCCTCAGAACTTAACGTTAAAAGAAAAAGAACTTTGTCACTTACAGTCG